TAAAAGTTCAAAGCTTTTACCTTCATTCGAGGGGCCTTTTAGAGTTTCGAAGGTCTTGGGTAACGACAGGTATAAACTGGCTCCTATCCCGGGATTTGAGGGCATGAAAAACAGGCGCAACACTACTGTGGCTGTGGATCGAATGCGTCCTTGGATTCATATCAAGTCACTGGGGGTGGACGATGACGGCACTGTTTGCATGAATGAATCGAATGATGATAGTAGCGGTGATGAAATGTAGATGAGCTTTGTAAAGGACATGATATTATGTGATTTAGTTGATTTTACCGGATACTTGTTCATTGTATGAATTTTGTATTGTTACAGATATCGCTCCTCGACTCTAAGAAGTGATTGGTTTAGAGATTCGAGAGAGAGATTAGTCAAAAGTCCTCGAGAATTGATTGGTTCGAGGCACATGATGAGTTTATGATGTAAGCCCTTGAGAATTGATTGGTTCAAGGCATTCTAGTTTCTCCTTCAGAATTGATTGGTTGAAGGAGTCAGTCTAGTTGAAACCCTCAGAATTGATTGGTTGAGGGATAGGTAGTCCTTCAGAATTGATTGGTTGAAGGATTTAGCGATTAATATAATCAGTAACTCTTAAGGGTAATTTGATACAGTCAGTTAAAAATATTAATTTACATATTATGATGAACTCACTTTATTATTAATTTAAACGAATTTCGATGTATTTCTGTCAGATGTATCTGTTTTTATTTAATTTTTATTCATTAATGTACTATAAACTCATTTATGTAATCAATTTAAATGTATTTAGTTATTTCCATTAATTTTCATTTTTTTTTTTACTTTTATTTATTTATTGATCTATTATGATGAACTCGTCTTTACAATTACTTTGATGTATTTAGATTTATTTTCATTAGATTCATTTTGTTTCACCCTTATCTTTAATAAATTTTGTAAAATATCGCTATTGGCCAAGTGTAAGGTTAGTCCACCGGGAACGTGTATGGGGACATACACGGTGTCAGGATGGACGAGTGTAAGGTTAGACATATTTTTAGACCCTGCATCTACATTTAATTTCATATTTTATAATTTTTAATAGTAAAATAAGTTTCTTAATTGGTATCACAAAACGAAATCATTAAAAAAATAAAATGACATTTTTTCAATGGGGAACACTTAGACAATGGCGGCATTAGGAGCGAGCTCACGGAACTGTACGGTTGTGTAAGCTATACTCAGTTGGAAATAATTACCTAAAGAAATAAATATTGTTTGTCTGCTGGAGATCTTGGTGTTTTCTTTGGAGAGGAGTCTTATACTTTACATTTTGTTTCCGTCGTCAATTTAAGTACCAATTGAATAACAGACGGTTAGGCGTAGTCCAAATAGGAGCGAGTTTTAAGCTTTTATATAGGTATTTGACATAACAACTTTTTGCAACTGTAAACAAAGATAATATATTGTAGAGGTTTCAATTACTTATAGCTATGAGTACCATAAAATATATACTAGCTCCAAAAGTGGTCCCACGCGCTTAATCCGCACGTAAGGAGAGCAAATACAAAAAACTGACCGCCGATGAACTCATCCATCGCAAAAAAACCATTGCTAGTTGAAAAGATTGATGTGTTCAGATAAAAAAATTGTTAAATACTACATTTAGATGGTACGAATATTTATTACAGAGGTATGACTAATAAAATATGAGTATTTTATTAATTTCGCGTATACTGACGAATGATGAACACCAATTTTTTTAACACTCATGATGATGCGACAGAATTGTTTCGATCGTCGCAATCAGGTGAAATACTCAATCGCAAGTATTTTTTAATTTTGGAGCAAATCTAAAACGATTACCCTATAGTCAAATGGTGTCTAAAGTAATTTAATAAAGTATGTATACGGTCAACAGATGCCACTAAGTTGCACAACAATGCTCACAAAAGTAGGAAGGGGCAAATGGATCGTCGTTATAAAGACAACGATAAGAGCAATATGGGTTGTAGTAAAAACGGATACGATAAAAGTAATACTAAAAATACATATCCTTACTATCCCATAGGGATGTAAAAAATGTTTGAAATCTGCTGTTTTGGGCTGGCTCCAGGCCCCAAAAATCATAGGAGACAGCCATCGATACGTTATTTGCCGGGAAGCCCTTTAAATAAAATATCTAACAATCATTTACAACCTGGAGGATATCCAGTAACTAGTTACTCGAATACTTTCTAAATAGCTTAACGACAAATCGACAAATTACCACTTTATTTTATCGCTACGTTCGGTGTAAACATAGATACTATGAATAGGTAATGGCTGAATAGATTTGAGTAAAAACTACTAACGCTTAGAATTATGCACATTTGCGACTGCCGTCTGACCTTAGACACCTATGATAAGTTAAAAGGTTGGTAAATAGTAATAAATGGTAAAATTAAATGAAAAGAAATAACCCATATTATAGGTTGGATGCAGCACGCTTCCAATCGACCTATTGGGAAGTCCTTGAAGGAGGCCTACGGGGAGTAATGGACGTCTTGAGGCTGACATGATGATGACATAAATGACTAGAGAAGGCTGCTGTAAAGCTGGTGATTGATAGTCTGTCATGTATGATTTTCTTATGAGCAATGACCGGGTATCAAAACTAGACACACAATTGGACTGTTTGTTCACATTTGGATCTTATTCGGATTAGGAAAATTGGATGTAGGCAAATGCATTTCATATGGGAGAGAGCCAAAAAGTATCGAAGCCTTGAATTGATTTAAAATGAAAGAATTAGTTACAACCGGTTTCTAAAGAAGATTAAACACCATTGTCTTACAATATTTAAGCCAAAATAACAGATATTTGTCCACTAAACACCCAAAAATGGTTTCATTTAAACTTTTAACGGATTAGCTAACGAAGGTTAAAATCTAATTAGTAGCAGTATTTGCGTCGGGGTCTAAAATGCTTTTCTTAGTAAATTCTGCTTAATTAAATTCTTGGATTATTAATGAAAGTTCCGAGTAAACGAAGTTCCACCTAAATGGCTAGCAATCGTATTGATTTAAGTAATAATAATATTAGATCAAGGGCCTGTTTTATAATGTCTGATTCAAGTTGCTCTTATGTCCCATAATTATTTAGATATATTCTGTATGGAAAATACGCCAAATTATTCGTCAGCTAGACTAACAGCAGTGAAAATAAACAATCAATACAAATCGAAAATCTTTGTATAAAGATCGATCATTTATGAGTTTCTATGTCAAATCAAGATCGATCCGAGATTTTCGGGACAATGGGAATCGGTTACCTACTAATTCCGGCCGTTTATCATTGAATGAAACCAGCCTTTAGTATCCATGGTAATCAATCATTATATTCCGAAGTAATTACTGTTGTTTGTGAATAGGCAGTTACTTCAAAGACACATCACATACTTTGGCAGATGAAATTGAAATCTGTTACCCGTCTTTCGCGAGTTTACGTATCGAAATATCAAACGATTTATTTTGGTACTAGTAATCGATCGGTATAAATTTTAAGTGTTATTTGAGTGAGGAATAAACGATACCATCGCGTATCGGTAAACAGAGCATTACTTTTTTCTTTCTGTTTAGTTTACTCTTTAGTGGCAGAGACAAGTAATAAAATAGAGTACGCGTTCTTTTTTTTATACGCCTCATTTCCCGCCATTATTTAGGTACCTCATTTTATTATAGGCCAGACTCTCAAAGAGTTTTATACATTTGACAGTTCGTTCTTGTTGATATTATTACAGCTTGTTAAGTAACACTTGAATGCTAAACATGTTTCATACTTTGATATGCAAACACAGGTGTTTTAATTGTAATTTTATAAATTCCTGCATAATACGAGTAGATAATACCGAACTAATAAAATGACGTAAAATGCGTAGTAAATTACATCGTGTTAGAAAAATCATTATTTAATATTAATCGGCTAAGAATATTGACGATAGCGTTCATAGTGCCAGAGAACTTACAGCCAAATAGACAGCTGTTGTTGTCGCTGTATTTTGACAATAGCTGCGACATTTTATTATTAATATACGTTGTTTATGAACACAATCGAGATAAACATTTCTTAAAATAAACGCGAATTAATTTCGTTACATTATTACGTAGTAAATAGTAAGATATTGCGAATTTCAAAATGTCGGGTGAATATAAATTATAATAATTACGTCATTATTTTCGCCAATAATTTTGTAATTAAGTAGTCCGTAATAGAAATAGCCACAAGTAAAAAAATACATTATTCCAAGACTCATTACATTGAAACACAATTATCTTGAAAAATATAAATACCTAGCTCATTTTGCGAAGGTTAAACTAATCGGGACTTTCCCAATCGATAACCGCATTTGAGTAACATGTATTTTCCTGTTAGTTATGCGAAATACAAAATTAGAGTTCACACACTATTCTAAATACTGTCTGTAATAAGTTGTAGAGGTGGGCATGTTTTTTACTACCGGAACTAGGCATTACACGGTGGCGCCCGCGTCGCTTTACGGATGGCGTAAGTTCTATGTGTCATCGCCCCTAGCAACAACCGACAATTGCTATTTAAATGAGGAAGTCACAGTCCAAATTTTTTCATAGTTTTGATGCTAAATTTCACAAAAAATATTGGAAATCCAAATAACTTGAATAATAGTAATTAAATATCATAAGATTGTGCTATCTTAACAAATAAACTCATGAAAAAATATCTAGCGAAAAAATATCAGTGCAACAAAATCATTAATACAACGCAGAAATAAACTGCAAAAGCAAAAATTAATGATGCAACAAAGTAAAATTGTTACTAATTTATTACATAAATATTTACAACTAACACAGATAAAGTGCGATGACATTTATAAAAAAAAAACAATATCATAGCAAAACATTGATCACATCACTATTAATCTACTAAATAAAAATTTAAAATTGGAAGCATCACATTACAACCGGCAAAAAAAGTAAAATGAAGCACAGACACAAACTCAAACAGCTTTATACCAGCTCATTTTTGTTGCCTGTGGCCCGCTGACCCCGTTTCCTGCATTCTGCCCGGAGCTGTTCCTTATTCATAGCTGCTAATGCCTCAGGGCTAAGGTTCTGACGAGCCCTTCCATTGTCAGACACAGAGTTCTGACGCGGTATGACCACTGAATTGGCATTATTACGAGCACGTCTTGTGCCCACCATATTCGTTATTTATAATTAATTCCCGTTTAATTATATTTTGTTCAGTGTCTTCTACACTTTAATGTAATCCCACGTCTTCTTGCCTTGCACATTGTGGAGAAATTGTTGATGTAATAAATACATGTTGTATTGTAAATATATAAAATAGTACACTCATTAAGTATTACACTGTATTAAATATTCTAGTATATAGAATAAGAAGTAATAAGAAGTATTTAAGTAAATAGTAAGTAATCTTTATTTTTAAATATGTTTTAGAACCAAGTAAATAAAATAGATAAAAATAAATGAAACAGGTACAAAAAATAAATATTAATGCTGACTTTAAACTATGATAAGTGCAGTCCCAAAAAATGTTTATAATACAACTATACATGTATGTGTGTATGAATAAAATTTAATATTTAAATATTGCCAAAATATTTGAATAAAATTTTATGATTAGAAGAAATAGGTATGGGTAAGTAAATAAATATTTTTAGATAAATAAAAATATATGTACGATAGATTTAACGGTGAAAACGCACTGGGTTGTTAATTAAAATCAAATGAATGGTAAGTTTGCATGTAAATATTTGCATGAAACGACGAAAATTACCCTCGTCATTATGTTATTGATTATTTATGATCACTCGAGCGTAACATAATCGTATGATGAGAAACAATTACTCCATTCGTGGAGGGTATTTTCAGAGCAGGTCAAAAATAAAAAAGCCACTTTCAGCCCCTAGTAAATTAAGCGTAAATTTGAAAATATCGGAAATAATGTTTAGGGACAGTCAGCGGAAATTATAGGTAACATCTAACCTAACATAACATTAAAAAATATATTCCAAATATACTCACATTCGCAGTAAATCAAGAACGGTATGGTTAACGATTCTCAGTCTTTATTTCATTCAATTTGTATTTATTTCAAGTAAAACAATAATTTCTTCACACAATATCCTTCCGTGAAAAGCAAAATGTTGAAGTTTATAAGACTGTTGCCAACACTATAGAAAAACTCCCGTGTTTTTACGAGTACTACTCCCCTGAAAAAAAAACTGCTCTCTGAAATGTAACGGTTCTTGAAATGAAAATTATTTTAGCATATTTCTGTACATTTTTGACTTATTTAATGTACAAATGACGTTATATTTATGGCATACCACTTAAATAGAATATAATATGTTTGTTCCGCATAATACAATGTTACCTTTATCGGGGTAAAATATTTTTACTGCAACTCTAAGTCTAAACACTGACGTGTTTGTCATAGACAATGATAGTGCTGCTCTGAAGGATGTCTGAAGGCGATTTTTCTTAATTTTAGTTTTTATTCTTATCACAATGACCTGAAATTATATACTAATTTAATAGAAAATCAACAGTTGAGTTAGTAATTTATGAGTTAATTCGATTTTAATGCAGCTATCATTTCATAAAAGTGTGATGAAGAGATTTTAATGTTTACTATGTATTATGATTATTTTCCAGTTTTAATAATAATTTTCATGGTTCATTACGAAAAGTAATGAAAGTTTTGATTATCTTTTCGGCTTCTAATTGCCGCTCTATTTATGAATGACCAAGGAGGTTGTAAACATGAAGGTATAGTTGGTAAATGGCACAAATAAAATAGTGCCACTTGTTGTTTATTCCAAGAGTCACTGTCAACTTGACAAAGTCAAAACTGACAAATTGACAATCGCAATTCGCACAATCGCAGATTCGTACCTACATCAACATAGAGTAAATAAACACTATAAAAGAAATCTTGCGCCAGGAAAAGAAATTCAAACAACTTTGTTTCAAAACAGGAATAAAACACGCTTAATTTTTTAAATTGAAATGGAAGATGAATGGTGATGATATCACTGACTATGTTCCCTCACTTTTGAATCCAAGGGGAGTAAGAAAACTTGATGCTGATGGTGATATATCATTAACACAGGTGAGGAACATGTTTACCTTTCAAAAGAAGAATAAATGGAACTCGAAATTTAAAAATCAATCTTACGTATACGAAAATAAAAGAAAGAACATAGATTCTTTGCAACATGCAATATGTGTATGAATTATTTAGGTCGTATTACGTGATTCAAGGTAGAAATATTATCTAGACCTTGACCTTTTGCTGACACAGACAATAATAAGAAAAGGTCCATATTTTGACATACCTACCTAGATGAATCGCACCTATGTACTAAAATCGCCGCCTTATAAATAATGATACATAACATAATTCTGTGGCCCATGAAATTCGTGCACTCTGAGCATATTTAGATGTTTAAAAGAGCTAACAACACTATCACCACTTAAATTAAATATTCCACTACTGTGAAAGGCATCTTCTCACATATTATTATAATATATTTTTTATGTGGTATAATATATTTTTTATAAGGTATATTTTTATGTGTATGGCTAGAAAGTATGAGCTCTGAGTATGTATGAATGTTTGACAGACCGAGTTGCTTCTATATTTACTAAATTATTCAAGAAAGTAGGTTAGAATGAGGGGTTTGGGCCTTATATCAAGCATAGACTAGACAGTTAGTTTGCTTTGAATAACGAGCATCCTCTTATAGAATGGCTCCCCATGTTCCGAAGTATTCTCCACTACATGGTCAGGGTGATGCCGAGTCCACTGCGTTATCCAATAAAAAATCCTCAGTAAGTAGTTTTGTTATAAGATTAAGTGGAACGACTGCCTCATTGGCTGAGTGGAACTGCGAAAGGGCCAAGTATTACTAGGTTTTTAAAATACATTCTCAGTAGTAGCACAGAGTCTGGAATAGTACCTGGTATATTGCAATAGGCTCACCCCCCATATTTTTCTCTCCTTTTGCAAATCCGTCTATTAGTTATGGAAGGGTTCAATACATACAATTCAACAATCAATTTTTCTTCTAAGTAATATATGTGTAGATAAAATTGTATTTTAATTACAACAATGTTAGTTTATCATAGGGTCGAATTTAGAATTAATTATATTTTTTCAACAGCATTCAATTGTAAGCCGCTCCTCTCTATCGCTCAGAAGAAACAATGGATTGAAACTTAAACCTAAGAAAAGGGTAAGTTTTTAAAAATAACAAGTTAACACTTTAACACGGTACTTTCCTTAATCAAAAATAAATAATTCGACTGTTCAATACAATAAATTATTAAAAAATAATCACACTTTCATTAATTAGTTGATTTTATGACCAACTTCATTTTAGTATTTTTCTAGCATATTTTTAAGAAATAAATACACTAAAGAAATGTGACGTCACAATTCACAATCTCGTACAAAAGCCACGTAAAACTGTTGTTTTTGACAGTTCAAAAAAGTATTGAATTTGATTAGTTGGCAAGTACCGTACTAGTAAGTTTAAAATAGTGAAACCGTTTTTTTTTTCTTCTTTGGTAACCGAGTCTCCAATACGATGTTGTCGACTATACTGCCAGTGTCGGGTGGTGACGGCAGATTAATGAACCGTCGAAGTTAACTTTGCGGTAGTTTTTAGTAGTTAGTAGCCGCACATTCACCCGTGAAGACTGATAGTAAAACTTAAACCTCCACTAGCGTCAGGCACTGACGTGACACTCTAAGGGTTAAATAAAAGTATCATAGATTTGGACACTGACATCTTCTATCTCTTTTTGCAAGGGTACCTACTTACTTATATTATAATTTTCGTCAGACATACTAAATTAATTATTATGTTTTCGACTTGCTCACGAAACTGTTTAGTGAGTAGCTGTTTATGAATATTAGCCTCTAGCATGGCTTGAAACTAATCGAGTTCCAGTTCCTCGTTAAACAGTTACGTGAGTAAGCCGAATACATAATAATTAATTTACCTACTATTTGAATTAATAATCTTGTTCTTATAAGCCACCCGGGCTTAACCAAATCCTCACGTCAGTACTCAGTTAGGTTTAGTTTGGTGCATGAGAAGCTTCACTTGACAGTAACAAATAAAAAAATCTATCTAGGTCCAGTCGTTCCGAAGTTTCAGTAACAAGTTTTACCATTCGTTTTTATTTCGGTAGCTGTATACAGACTTTATCAGCAATATTTCACCTTATCTTCTAAACTACCTCACTGACTCACTATCGGAAATCAAAGTAACGGTAAAATCGTTCATAACATTTTTATTTCCTAACGCTATCGTAAAAATATCTATCACCTACTAAACATGAAAACTGTAAAACCGGTAAGTTGTAAACTCACGCAATATTTTAACACATTTCAGATTTATCCATCGGTAAACAAAGAAAATTCGCAAAATGTACAAAACTTGCTTTCCCAATGTACTCCTACCAAAGATATACCAAAGACCGTCGACAGACACAGCCTAGGCTTGTCAGCTATTGAAGACCTGCAGAGTGAAGGCAATCAGTTTGATAGCTGCTCGTTCTCCCTCGCGGATGCTCCCGTCAAACCGAAATTGACCAGCGTCACCACTCCTCTAGTGTCCGTGTCCTCCCACACAGAACTAGAACGATGTGGCGACTGTGGGGACTCCAAAACTGCTTCCACAGTCATTGTAAATAATGTTAAACCTACCATCTCGGTGTCCTTCGGCATCGACAACTGCCAAAGTGTTGATGTCAAAGCCAAAAAGAGCTCCATAAAGAGAATTCTATTCTCCCATAAAAACGACAACACATTGGTCGATTGCGAAATTGTAGAAGGATCACAGGCGAGCTCAGAAAGTGATATTGACGAGAACATGAACGAACTCCTTTCCCCTAACTCTTTAAAGAGGTCCGCCGTCACTGTCAATCTAGAAATTAAAAAGAAAAAGCCGTCATCCACGGAGACAGCAGAAAACAAAGTTCTAATTTTAAACACAAGTGCCATCGAGAAGATATCCCATGTCATCGTTCAACCACCAAATTACAAATTAGTGAAGGGGAAAATTTTGGACAAGCACAAATTTAAAAGCAGCAATAAGAAAAACTCAGTGTTAGGATTTAACGTTAATTATGGAAATGTGCGTGATAGATTGAAGCAGAAATCTATTGACAGTTTTTTCCCTAAACGTACGAATGTTTTAAACTTGAAAGTATCGGAAGGGAGAAGTCTAGCTGAGCCTGTGTCTGACGAGAAGACTCGAGTGAATAAACATGGTGATGAGGAGGTCATGAGTAGGAATTCAGGTGTCGCTGACGCCATTAAAAGCGATAGAATTCGTAAATCGCCTTACAAGGCGTCTCGGATTGAAAATGAAGCGTCAATTAGGGCGACAAGAGTTCTTTCTCCAGGAAAGGAAGTGTCTCCTCGACCGGAGATTAAGACTTCATGTTCGTCTCCTCGAGGGAAGGAAAGCCCCAGCTCGCACAGTCCCCGGAAGGGTGTAGAGTCTATTCACTTCAGTTTGCCGCCCAAGTCTGTGTCTACGAAGAGATCTGTGTCAACAAGGAATATACCGCACCATAAGATTGTGGCAGGTACGTCTGATTGCTTTTGTAATGATGCTAGCTTCTTATAGTGCCATCTTATGAAGGTTGGCGGTCGTCAGGGTCACATGCCCTCTTGAAACCGCTGCCCAGCTGTGATACTACTGAACCATTCACATTAGGATCTCCTTGTGCGATTTAGCCTTCAATGTTCCCCTGTATGAAGGATGCAATGCTAATTTTTCATTAAGCGTTGGCTCTAGCCACGTCATTGTACAACGATCCCTAGTTTTGTATTAATTTTTTTGTTCGTATTGTTTTATGCAGCAGTTTGTGCTATGATCTCCATATCTCCATGACTTGCAGGCACACACTTTGCGGTGGACGCATTCTCGTACGGGGAGATTCCGAACGTGAAGCACTACTTCCTCACACACTTCCACTCAGACCATTATTCGGGCCTGAAGAAGGGCTTCAATAAATTATTGTTTTGTTCGAAAATTACCGGTGAGATGTTCATTTTTTTTTGGTTTTATTTTGTGCTGTTTGTTTGTGTTTTGCATCGTGATGCAGTGGTACTTAGAAATAGGAAGCCCAATTTATAAGAGGTATGTTTATCCATCTGCTCATTTTGCTCTTATTTCTGCATGTCTTCATTTAAATTTAAACAAAAGACACATTTGAATGCTAAAAGGACTGTAAATATAATATATCTTTCCAAGAACTGAACATGCCTATAAAGTGGAACGAGCTCGTTCTTCATTTTTTATTTAAATTAACTAAGTGTACGAATTGTTCAAATATTTACTACCAATCGAGGTCCCACTTCCCCAATCTCCACACATTTTTAAACGTTCCTAAACCTGACATTAAAATGGCCCAA